TATATGCAACTTTATGTGAGTGTCTTCATTTGTGGAAAAGGATGTTTGTCTTACTAGTGGGTCCAACCTTACACACACCAAATCCATCTGTGCTCATATGAGACAGTGTGCAGGGCGCCCTCTGCAGCGCTTACAGCGACACTTGTTGAGGAGCTGCCTTCTGTCGCCATCGTGTGGCATTGCTGTCTTCAGACATCTCTTGATCTCTTTGACTACTTAACGAAAATTGGAATACGCCTCGCCGGTGGCGGATTTAAAGGTGAGGAGAGGAGGTTATGTTAATGGTCAATACAGGTCTCAGCTGTGTTAAATCCACTCCACGCCCTCTCTCCTCCCTCACTACGACTAACACCGCTGGGAGGAGCTAAGTTAGGGAGGGGGGATACTTACGCCAGGCTGCGCCGCTCACCAAATACCAAATTGTGGCAGCGGACCTGACTTGCGCCGCGTCTGCGCCACATCTCCAGCGAAGCAGGAAAATAGAGCCCTTTGTGTTTCAGGCGGATTGTATTTCACACCATGCAAATGGGCAGGGACGAACAACTGGAAGGTTTATAGACAGCATTTCTTCCTGATGACACCATGGATGAGAGGATGCTGATTTTATAAGTCTAGAATTAAATTCCCTTCTCTGGAAGGACACAATCTACTGCTAATATGGTTAGCCTATGTGGCTAGAGACAACTTATCATACGATTGCATGTGAATCCGTGGGTTCTTGTGAGTTCTCGCAATTGCTGCTGTCCGTAATCCACCACAAAATTCGCCTCACAAACAGATCCGGTACAAATTGGTGTACGGCGAAAATCGCCGCTGTTCCGGATCAGAGCCGTTCCGGATGCAGTGAAAATCCTGGGTAAGACTAACCTTTTGAAATGATCCGATACACTGAGCCAAGAGTGAAACAAAAGGGAGACTAGACATTATTTGCAGCTGTGAGAGCATCTGTTTTCCTCATCTGTTTGTACAAATGCTCAAGAAAAATATAAAATCAGAGTACGTTGATTTTAAATAAGACTGAGATAACCTGGTACTGTTGAGGCTGTAAACATGGATATGTTGGAAATAAATGTGTTGTCCAATGAGGCCAGTACTTTACAAAGAGTGAGCATTTGTGTGACTCGTTTCTGCCATTGATGGTTTATGCATGCACAATTATTTAAAGTTATAGTTTTACAGTTTCTCTTGATAACAGAGCTTCCCCTTCAGGAAAATCAACGTAACTTTTTAGGCAAATAATTATGAAATGGTACAAAACAAGAGTAGAGAGGTTCCTAAAGAGAAATGATAAATCAAATATAATATGATGTGTAGTTCTGTGGTAAAGCCTCTGTCCCTTTGACCTTCCTCTCTCTAAGTGACCGTGCTTAATGAAGCTAATGGGCCTCAATGAGTAAATTTGTATTCATTTGATCTTGGCCTGTCCAGGCTGCGGGGGCAGATAAGCAGACTGATTTGCACAGACTGGTCTGGTCAAAGCTTGCAATTTGTTCTTATGTTCACTTCTAATGGCTTTCAGGATTTAATGTAAAAACTGTAATTTTTATGTGGAATTATTCAGATGCTTTATTATCAGCAAGCATTGACGGATTACCAGAAATGTGTTTTCGAGATTCATTAGAAATGAACAAAATCAAATTTTGATGGTTTGCAAATCATTTAAACCCTATGCAGTCGTTCAATAAATGAGAAATACAAACTTATTTTAAATCAGCTGTAGGAACATCTCCAACTATAACTGCATTAATTTAAAACAGCCTCAGTAAGTGGGTATAAGAAAGACATTCAGAGGCTGAGTCTGAGGAAATATGTGGGAAGGTTCACCACTCTTTGAGAGACTGGGTGATGTTCTTCTGGGTAAAATTACAAACATTTTCGAGGTTTCAGCATTTATAGAGCATAATATCATCAAAATAATCAAAGGACCTGGCTGCAAAGCAAAAAAACTTATGCTGGATGAATTACTCTTATAAACCTTTGTCCATGAACATTTTGTTGCTGTTCCCAAATGCAGGTTTAAATTATCTATTTACATCTATGAGTTTTTGTCCTGTGGTCTGATGAAAAAAAATCAACATTATTTTTGGAAATCATGGACACTAAGTCTCAGCTTGTTCTCAGTCCGCAGTCCAAATCCAGCATCCCTGATGGTATGGGGATCATCAGAGTCCATGTCATGGGTATCTTCCACATCTGTGAAGGCTCCATTAATGCTGAACAATATCTACAGGTTTAGGAGCAACATCTGCTGCCATCCAGACAAAGAGTTTTTCAGGAAAGACCTTCATATTTTTGCAAGAAATATGCTGGTCTGCCTGCAGTCCTGACATGCCCCCCATTGAAAACTTTTGGCGCATCATGACACCAAACGCAGGACAAAGGAGGCCTTGAACTGTTGAGCAGCTGAAATCCTCGATCAGTCAACATTTAACTTTTCAAACTGTAGGAACTGAAGAAATCAGGCATCATAATGATGAAAACTGTGCCAACTGTCCTGAATCAAGTTTTTGGTACAGATTCATGATTCAGCCTCAACTATTAATATGACATCTAAGCTCTATTTTTAAGTAATTATAGGTTTCTTTTGTAGTGCTTTGCAAACCATCAAGTTTTGTTTTTATCAACGTGCACACAGTGCCCCGATTTTACTGGACTTTAGGGGGTGTTTTGCTCTGTGCTTGAGAAACATCTGTAGGACTATAACACTTGTTATAGCATCTGCACTAATGCTACAAAACAAAAGGTTTAAAATGAGTGATGAGCCATTCAGCATTTTCTTGATAGCTTACTAAAGTTTGTCCTATTCGAAAAAAAATTTCAGATGAAGGTAAAAAAGGTAAATATATATATATATATATATATATATATATATATATATATATATATATTATAGTATGTTTGACCATACTTCAACTTAACTAGATGCATTTAAATGACAGAGATAGCTAAAATTGTTTTATTTTCAAGTTTTTCAAACATTATTGGGTTTGTGACCAACAGACGTTCATGCCTGAATGTCAAGACTGTTTTTCTAGCTCCTCTTAAGCCTTTTGACTTTAATTTCAGGGTTATTATTGTAGATATATTTGTGTCTTTTCTTTCAGTCTTTGCTGAGTATGTTCCTTTACTTTGTGGTCTTTGATTTTGCTGTTGCAAGCTTTCTTTGTCTGTCCTAATAAATCTAATTTCAGTTAAGGCCCCCTGCAGCGGTCTAACCCGGCTTTCTGTCTGTCTGAAACCCCAGGAGCTGAGTTAGTCATCCCAGTACTTGAGGATCCATTAGTGCACCCCTCTGTAGCTCCTCGTGCACCCTTCATTCCCACTCCCTCAACCCACCACCCACTCCTCACCATTGTTGAGACCACCAAAGAGTCCCTGTCCAAGGCCACTGAGGCGGGGGTACCTTGCTTGTCGGACCGAGGCAGCGATGATTGTGATGATGATGGCTTGGTGATATCGGGGTATGGCTCTGGCGAAGCGTTCAAGTCTAACCTGCCCCCCCTACTGATGATGAAGATTTTTACACGACCTTCTCCTTGGTAACAGATAAGACCTTGTCTACGTCAGGCTTTGAAGGTGGCTACAAAGCTCACGCACCCAAGACTTTTAGACCAAACAAACCTTCAGTCTCCAGACGCGGTAGGACTACCACTACCGCTGTACCTCTAACCGCCGACCAGAGCCGCACCACCGCCACCTCTGCCTCCACCGCAACCCTCCACAATGCTGGCAAACCCAGTAACCGCGAGCTAAAAAAACCCCAGCCCGACCTAGTGTTGCTTCCATTGCCCACATCCTTTGAGGTAGACAGCACCAAGCTGAGGGGCCCATTAATAACCTCCCCAATGTTCCGTAATATACCCACAGCACTCCCCACAGAGCCGGGCATCAGGCGAGTCCCAGGGCCCTCGGAAGTGGTCCGTGAATCTAGCAGCACCACCGGGATGGTCATCGGAATAGTGGCGGCGGCCGCCCTGTGCATCCTCATCCTCCTGTACGCCATGTATAAGTACAGGAATAGGGATGAAGGCTCCTACCAGGTGGATGAAAGCAGGAACTACATAACCAACTCAGCCGTGCAAAGCAACGGTGCAGTCATGAAGGACAAACAGCAGAACTTGAAAGGCAGCAACAAGAAACAGAAAAACAAGGATAAGGAGTATTACGTGTGACTGTGAGACTTTCCAGAGGAAAGAACGCACTAAAGACAACACTTACTCACTTATCACTGTCCTCGTAAGGAGCTATGACAAATGATGGTATTACGTGGAACTTGAATAATCCTATACTGTGCTGAGTAGTTGAACTGATGATATGTACTGTAATATAAAGCACACTTACTATTGTAAGCATAAAGACAAGGCTAAATAGCAACTTTAGAGACCTTACTCTTCTATCTGGTCAGAGACGTTATCAGTATAGAAAATATTTCACAGCTACATCATTCTCCTAAGTGACTTTTAGAGCTATGTGATCCTTGGCATTAAACTGAAAACTTTTTTGTAAAATTGTTAATTACAAAAGGCTCATAATCTTCTACATTTTCAGCATGTAAGCAACATGTAGTGCTTAACAAGAGGGGGTCAGGCACACTGTCATTGTGAAACTAAAAAAGGACTCTTGTTGTATCAGAATATGACAAATTTTTATGGTTTATACATAATACAAGTGTGGTGTCTCACTTATTTTTTTTGCTTTGAGCAGAACTGAAAAAAGACAAAAAGAACAGCAAGAAAAGAGAACTATATCTGTGTATAAAATGATACCAAGTCAGCAAATTGACGCGGGCAGACCTCACAGAACCTGCTTTTGTCTTGGGCGTCTGATTCACCATGACTTTAACCATCGTCTGAAGGACAGAGTGACTCACTTTGTGGAGACGAGTGGCCATTTCCGTTGGTCGAAAAGCGACTGATTGTAAAATGCATGCCATCCTGATTCTGCAGTAAGGTACAGTACTGTAAAAAGTCCAGTAAACAGTGTTCGACTTGGACCATTTAATGCCAAACAGTTCCTTCATCATCAGATCAGAACTTAGCCCCCCCTCCCTCAAAAGTGTTAACCACCAGGAGGAAAAAAAAACAAACCTCGTATACAGAAATGGTCTGTTATTGATGCACAGCTGGTTGTGGTTTTATCTTTTTGCAAACCTGTATGTTGGTTCGTTGCCTCTTGTTCTCTTTTCTATGGAGGTGTCAGGAGGAGGAGGACAAATGCAGTACTACAACACTGTTAACAAATGTGTATACAGAAATAAATCAGATGTTGAAAGTGTGAATTCTATCTGCTGTCACAGTCGACTGTGTCAAAAAACAAGAAATTTGTTTACATATTTTATTACATGCTAGCTGTTGTACTTTGTAGGTAGGAAATTGTACATATACCATGACAGTTGTAATTTTTAGTACCTCTATTGTACAGACTGAACATATGGTTTATCAGCGTATTTCATGACAAAAATCTATTAACTGTTATTTTACATGGAGAAAAACTTTAATCAGAATGTGGAGAATCATATTGATATTTCATAAAGAATAAAGATGTATTGTTAGCCTAGAGATCTAACCAGAGATGTTTCTAAAGTTGCATGAATATTTAACTACTTGCAGTTGTCCAGCAAATACAAGGTACCCTTCTTTCTGTATCATGGCTTTTGTGTTCTGGGTTACACAAGTGTCATTTATTTTTGAAAGAGAATAAAGTCAGACGTATGACAAAGACGGACAGACACAGAGGCTAAAGTGGATGGGAATTCACGGTGTGTGTGTGTGTGTGTGTGTGTGTGTGTGTGTGTGTGTGTGTGTGTGTGTGTGTGTGTGTGTGTGTGAGAGAGAGAGAGAGAGAGAGAAAGAGAGAGAGAGAGAGAAAGAGAGAGAGAGAACATGTTTTGGGAACTGTTCATCTGAAGTCACGGGCTTACCTCCATTTATCATCATCCATTTACATTTAGAGACACTCAGCTGTCTGTTTCTCTTCCCATTATCTGCCATTGTCATTCAGAGCTGTGGAGGTGCCGTCAAACTTTGGCCTAAGGTTGGTATTTTTGTGTTATTACTGTTACTTTTCGTGACCTTTTTCATCCGTTTGATAACAAATAAAATATCCTTTTTTTTTCTCTGAAATTAAGAATAAGAAGAACTTTATTAATCCCCGAAGGGAAATTCAATTGTTGTCTCACATAATATGTCTCTTAAAGTTATCACAAGAATTATAAAGTCTGATGGTTGTTGGTACAAAGGATCTTCTGAATCTTTCTGTCCTGCAGACTCCACCTTCCTCAGTGTAGATCTCTTCACCACATCCTCCACTGAGTCCAGTTTGAGTCCTACCACAGAGCCAGCCTTTTTCACCAGTTTGTTAAGACGTCTTCATCTTTGTGTTTGATGCTTCCTCCCCAGCAGACTGCAGCGTAGAACAGCACACTTGCCACCACAGACTGATAAAACATCTGCAGCATCTTAATACAGCGGGCTTCGCCCCTCTCTGTAGATGAAGTCTATATTCTTAGACCAATCAAACTTATTACCTAGATGTACACCTAGGTATTTATATGATGTCACCACTTCGATGTCCACTCCACAGGTGTTCACTGGCTGAAGAGGGGGTTTGGATCTACGGAATTCTATAACCATCTCCTTTGTCTTTGAGGTGTTGAGGAAGAGGCAGTTTTTGTGACTCCAGTCACTGAAGGCTCTTATCAGATCTCTGTATTCAGCTTCTTGTTTATTTCTGATACATGCCACAATAGCAGATTCATTTGGGTATTTCTGGATGTGGCAGGACTCAGTGCTGTATTTGAAGTCTGACGTGTACAGTGTGAACAGGAATGACACCAGCACTGTCCCTTGTGGAGCCCCTGTACTGCTCATTAATGTCCCAGAAACACAGTTTCCCAGCCTGAAAAACTGTGGCCTTCCTGTCAGGTAATCTGCAATCCAGGAAACACAGGAAGGATCCGCTCCCATCTCTGTGAGCTTGTCTTTGAGTATGGTGGGTTGGATGGTGTTGAATGCACTTGAAAAGTCGAAGAACATGATCCTCACCTAAATCCCAGGTTCCTCCAGATGAGACAGGGCACGGTGAAGCATGTAGAGGACAGCATCATCCACTCCAATGTGTTATTTGTATGCAAACTGCGGGGAATCCAGTTTGTCTTTGACCTCAGTGGTTAAGACATTTGAACAAGATGGAGGAGCAACAGGAGAGGTTGTTGTGGAGATTTGTTGCGGAGAGGAAGGTGGAGTAGCAGTGGAAGTGGCTGTGACAGCAGTGTCAAATCTGTTGAAGAACAGGTTGAGTTCATCAGCTCTTTCCAGATCATCCATCACTTTCTTTTTATTTCTGTGTCCAGAGATGGTACTGATTCCTCTCCACACTTCAGGGATGTGGTTGAGACATGGTTGACCTGATGTACGACTTTTTCAACTTCAGTTTTGAGAAGCTCCTCTCTGCTTGAGCCACCGTGACTGGCAGAGTGAGAGCAATCCTGAGAGCAGAGCTGTCCCCCACGACCCTCTCCCCGTTTCGTCTCATACAGTCTGTCAGCCGCTGTACGGCACCTTTGCAGCAAGCAGAGGCGCCTACAGCAGCAGGGGGGCGCCAATTTGACAAGAGTTAATACAAAACCGCTTTGTGGTGCAGATTTATTATTATTTTCTTTTTTCTTTCTTTTTTGGAAGTGCTCGTGCCGCCCCCCATGAGTCATGACACAAATGCCACCCCGGGCGGCTCCTCAGTTCACCTGTGCCTGGAACCGCTACTGTATATATATATATATATATATATATATATATATATTCTTGTTGAAGTAACATAGGAAAACTACATCAGTTATGTGTGTCGCCAGCAGCCGCTCCGAGTCGCTTTTCACTTTCAGTGGTGACAGGAAGTCAAACCACTGTTGTAGTTCTTTTGTGTTGCTAGCGGGTTGTTTCCCATCTGGTTGTTTAACACGGCTGAAAATGATCATCTTTTAATGTTGTTCCCGCTCCTGCCCACTCCTGTTGCTTTTTTTTCCCCGTCCCGATCACAGGATTAATTAAAAAATGGCTCCCACCCCGTGGGATTCACGTGGGAATCACGTGACCCACGGGAATTCCCGAAAAATGTTATCCTGTAACACACACACACACACACATACACACACACACACACTAAAAACAAGGATATGATGGGGAGGGAGAAACAAGATTTATTCTGGGCTTTTAAATTTATGGACCAGGCGTCTGGAGTGAAGCACACATTAATCGTGACGATTTTAGGCCTGATTCACCTTTTAACACGAGTCAGCTAAGACCAGATTTTCAGATGGTTCTGGGGACTATCTTCCCTGGTTATGTTGTGTGGTAGGTGTGTTCAGAGTGATCCTTTTGCTCTGGGATCTGCTTGGAGGACAATTCAGACCTCCGACTTAAGACTGCCAGTGTTATGGTGTAAACAGTGACCCTGTTTACTAGGGCTAATGTGTTTCTTACTGTAAAAGGCTTAAAATCCCCAGTTTGCAGGGCCACTTATTCAGCTGATGTCTGCCTTTATGAGACTTCATATTGTTGGACAGCTAACATGATGTATGAATAGACACCAAGATAAAAACCAGCACTTCCACAGTATGCAAGCAAACATTTCTGTTTTCTCATCAGATCTGTGGTTACTGAAAGTCAGTGTTTACTATGAAGTGGTCGACTGAAAAAGGAACTGATAGCTGTCCATGTCTTTGTTACTGTTATAAATTAGAGAGCTTGAATACAACCATTTTGTCCAACTATTGAGGGTTAGGGTTACTGGATCAGCTAAGAAGTAAGATGTACTGTTTTATGCACAGAAGGCACCAAATTCGACACAGTCCTAAAAGCTTCTCACTAGAGCTTCAATATTTGCAAATACATAACCACAAAACATGATAAATACAACCTGTGGTCACTGACAATTGTGTAGTTGTCAGCTCACTTTTTGGTCAGGCTGGATGGAATAATGCTTCAGTATGTTCACATTTAATTATATTTTGTGAGGGTTCAGAACAGTCACATCCTTCATGTCCTCAAGTTTGCGCTGAATCCTGGGTAAACCCTACATACCAAGTCTAAACATAAAAAGACTGTATAAAACATGGATGTAGAGTTACTATCAACAGCAGTCCACATAGTGGAAATGCCCAGACTAACGTTTGGTGCCAGGAGGTAAAGAGAAAGTGTTTAGGTGGCGCTGCCTGTCAGTTGAGTCAGCTTTTTTCTCTGCTGCTGCAAAACCTAAAAAAAAATCTAAACATTTGTGTGAGGAAAGAGGAATAAACTATTCAAATTAAAATTGTTTTCCAAACCAGGCTGTAAACATGGTCATTCATGCTCTAATAACAGGCTTTTTGAATGAGAGTGTATGTGATTTCTGCAGACAGCTTCAAAATGATATTCAAAAACTGCAGTTTTAGAGCAGTGCTGTACAGGCTCAATGAAGACTCAACATTGATGCAGCAATTGAGCGTTGAAGGAAAAGCGAAAAGCTGACTTAATTTTGGGTCACTTTCTTTGCATGTCAAATGTGCAAAACTGAAATAACCTCTGTTTCATGCGTAAAGGGAAATCCACCTTCTGACGCCATCCTGGTGCTGTCACTTGAGGCACTGTGTCCCAGCATGTCTGATGATGGAAGGCAGGGTGGGCAGTTTAGTGTGTTTCTATGTAAACTAGTAGTTTTAAGTGGGTCCCTGCTAGTGATGGGCACAGCAGTTCCTTTGGATGTACTGAATCACTAGAATCAGTTCACTAAAAAGATCTGTTCAAAAGAAACAATCAGCGAATCACTGAATCATTCAGTGCTTGGCAGGAGGAGCCTGCGACTCCGACTTCTTGAACTGATACACAGCTGAACGGTTCAGGTTTCAGTTCAGTTCGTGGCTTCTGGGACTAGTAGACAAGAGTGCTGTGGCTGTATTGCTTTGGCAAACATGTTTGTAAAAATTAACTAGTTTATAAATCATCATGTTTTAAGTGTACTGTCCTATAGTATGCTATTTATCTAGTCTAGTTGGTACAATGGGCTCAGTAAGGGATTCGTTCACTGAATGTATACCTCACAGTACATTCAGTGAAGGAATCACACTAAACATGCACTGTTCCCTTGCATTTTTTTACTCTGCTAATTATAATGTTTTCTTTCATTCATATGTGTTGCCATAATCTGTAATGTGTAATACGCCGTCATTCATATTTTTATGCTGCAAGTCTCATATTTTAATTATCAGCTATTCAGAATTTTGACATTTGTGGGATGTTTGTTCAACTGGATTTTTTCCGTTTCTAGAAACTTAATCTGTTAAAAAAGGGGAGGTGTGTGTTTATGTTTTTTTGGCTTGACTCCTGTTTCAGTGTCTCCTGCAGAATGATGGTCACTGAGTGATAAGTGCACTGAACAGTTAGACCACAGTACTTTCAGTGAAGGAAAGTTTTTCACACCAGGTACATAACTGAAACAGGAGCTGCTGCAAAATGAGGCCACAAACCATCCCTCATTGAAACATTTTCTTTTTTTAATATAAGATTGAATGTTGCTGATGACAGGTCAATACGCTGACAATGTTGGATGTGAAGCTGCATTCACTCCTATCTTGAAGATGTTCAGGGTCTAACACACCTGGCACCCTCAAGTCTTTAATTTGTCATGACCATCAAAAAAGGATGCACACCATCTGCTGCCATAGTCAGAGTGAAAATGGTTATCCACCAAACTGTACCAGCACTATATTTGGAGACTCTGGTTGAAGCAGCTTCAGTTGAGAGTTCTCATCTTGAAATTATGGAATCTTACCCCCAAGAAGAGTATTGATCTATTACTGACCGTAATCCCACTGTGGACATCCCCTTTGGATGTCATGCTACGGATGGGAATCTTGCATATTGATCTTATGTATTACTACTGTGTTTAAGGTCGTAAGTCACGGCTGTTTAACACAGCCGAGACCTTTTTTCACCAATCACATAATCTCCTCTCCTCGCCTTTAAATCCACCACAGGCGAGGCGTATTCCAATTTTCGTGAAGTAGTCAAAGAGATCAAGAGATGACTGAAGACAGCAATGCCACACGATGGCGACAGAAGGCAGCCCCTCAACAAGTGTCACTGTAAACG